TACCTACTAGCATCTACCTACTCGGAAAAAGAAGGTTTCTGTTCTTGTTTCCTTTAGACAGCGCTATCCCACTATTAGTGAGTAGGTAGCACCATCTTTGGAGTTGTAAGGGTCAATTCGAAAGGGACGTACGATCACTGAAGCAATGTTATGACGTCTTAGTAATAACCCTAGTGTCTTAAGATCATATTCGAGGCAACATTTCCGAGGCAACATTTCCGAACGGGACATTTGATCTTTGTTTAGACAAATGAGTGACCACTAAAACACCCTATACTTAATGATCGTTTACCGAAGGCAACCGAAGTGAGAGTATATCCTAGGAGTGCGCATGTGCGAGTGATTAAATTTCAATTATTATCTTTGCACATTTAGGGTTTGCTAACCATTTTAAAATTAACATACATTCTTGTCATGCAACCCTATTATCATACATCTAACAGTTAATTATTTGCAGAAATTAAAATGCGAGAAATAAAACTACGCTATTATAAGGCTTCGGGGAGGGGGATTAATTATATAGCCAAAAACCCGTAAAACGATAAATAAGAGAAAAAGTCCTAATTAATCTATTACAACCCATGAGCAGTTACATCAATATTGTAAAAATAAATAAACGCGCGCGATGAAACGGGAACGGGAGAAAATTAGGGTTTTGACCCCGTCTAAACCTAATTGAAAGAAAAATCATTTTTTGTTGTTTTTGATTATTTTGAACAAGAATAAGGTTTTAAATTAAATATGTACCAACCTAATTACTAATTAAATTAAATTAAGAAAAATGATTAATTTTGACCTATTTTTATATTTTGGTTATTTTAAGAAAATAAAATAAAAATAAAATAAAATAAAACCCTAATTTCTAATTTGTTTTAATTTATTTACAAAAGGAACTAAGATTTCCCTAAAATTAAATAAACTAATTAAATTAATTTTTGATAAAAAAATAAAACCTAAATCTAATTTGATGAAAATTGATTTTATGAATTTTTTGTATAAAAAAGAGTTAATTTTTTATGTTAGAAAATAAATTAAACAAAATTAAATAAATAAAGAAACCTATAGAAAGAAAAAGGGAGAATTGAGCCTGGTATCCAAAGCATCAGGGGGGTGTCCATAGCAATCTGAGCCCAATAGCCTGGATCCACGTTTGACTTCTCAGATCCCATGTTGCAAGTTGACCAAGGTGCATCATGGACCTTCAAATGATGGGCGTTAGATCTGGCCTTCTGGAGATCTAGTGATTGAACCTGGAGGGCACATGGTGAACCCCTTTACCTGTACACACGCATAATCACCCAAGGAAAAATGTTATGAAATAATTTGGGGACCTGAGATTCGAACGCAGGCCCTATGGCTTTTCCCTTCGCCTCACAACCAACTGAGCCAACACACTTGTTTGTACATGGAATATCAAATGAGCATTATATGGAAAAAACACAAATGCCAATTGTACAGCGCGCGAATTTTCAAATGGGCAAATGGGGTGGTGCCACACAGTCCTTCTTCTTCCTCTCTCCATTGGTAAAAGTCCCCGACTTTTACCTACAGACAAAAGTCTGTAGCTATAGCCTCTGCAAATTTTTCAAAATCTCATACAGGCACAATAAATCAAAACTAAAGGTGCAGATCAACTCGTCTTGACCTTATGAACACCATAGCACCCCTCTTTTGGGCCAATTTTGCCTGCAATCAAAAACCCTAAAAACGAACCCTAAACCCTAGCAATGGTGGATCTCTGTATGGTTAGCAAAAATACAATTATTCATTACCAATAGCTTGTAAATGTTTCAATGAACAAGAATATATAAGTAATTCAGGCTACAAGTGCCATAATCATGATATTGAATTTCGAGAAAGTGGCAAAGTCGTGAGTCACTTACAGTGAGTTTTCATGCACGAAAATGCTTGCTAAGGATTGGTATGGACTCCTTGAACACCCAGGAAACAAATGAGATAGCTTGGAAGGCTTGAGAATGCCTGGAACTATGAAATCAGATTGCACTTTTTTCTTGATTTTTTGAAAGTTGTTCTTCCCTCTACACGCCTCTAACCCTTCTTTGGTCTGCATTTGTTCAATATATATCATTGAGTGAATTAGGTTTACAAGTTTGCTCTAAATCTTTTTCAATTATGGTCATTGATCAAAATTTGATTCTCTTGTAAATCTTTCCAAAATAAGCCAAAAACCAATCTTTTTGTGTACAAACAGGCTCTGCACGATTTGATTTCATTGCCAGCTGTATAAGAGACCTGAAATATGCACAAAATCTCAAGGTTAAAATGATTTTGATATTTCCATGATTTTATTTTGATTTAATTTGATTTAATTGAAATAAAAATCAAAACAAATGGCAAAAATAAAATAAAGGCAAGTGGAAAGGATCATGGGTCATGGACCATGTTACAAACTCAAGACAAGTACAAAAAAGTTGGGTCCTTTTGACAAAAATTGCAATTTGAGGCACTTTTGACTTTTGGCAATTTTGTAAAAAAGGTCAACTTCACTAATGTATAACTTCTTCAATTTTGACTCTATGAAAGTGTTATTGGACTTTTTAGAAAGCTTGAGATGTCCTATAAGCAAAACTTTTGGTCTCATCTCAATTGAGTCTTTCATTTTCATGTATGAAGCTTTGACAAAAAAGGTGTTTTTGTTGACTTTTCAAAATGACCTATAATGTCAAAATTCATAACTTCTGGTGAGTTCATATTTTGAACTTGGGAGCTGAAGATGAAATGTAGGGAATTGCATCCTATTAAAAATGATCTTTGGATGGGTCATTTCTAATAAAGTATGAGAAAGTTATGCTTGGTCAAAGTTGAGTTGACTTTTCCTACAAAACCCTAATTTAGCAACTTTTGGGTTTAGATGAATTGTGAGCAATCCTTGAGGAATCATGATCAAACCTTGATCAAATGATAAATAATAATTCAAAATGAGGATGTTGACCAAAAATCTTGAAGTTTGACTGCATGTGGGCCACAATTGACTTTTGCCCTAGCACAATCGATTTTCAGGCCTTTGAGCAATTGACTGAGCAAACTTCTTCTGCAAGGCTTGAAACTTGACATGGATGATCTTGAGAACATATTAGGACAATAGTGAGATTTTGGGATCCCTTTGACTCAAGTATCTTGATGCAACATGAAACCCTAATTTGAGGTAGACTGTCTTAGGAGAGAGTTTGTGTGGTGAACCCTTGGACTTCCTTGAGCAATTTGAGGACCTCACTTGAAATGTATTGAGAAATATGGGAGGGCAAATTTTGGGGTACAACAGCATGTATGAAAAGTTACCTACCAACTATGCACGAGTTACTCATCACATCTCAATAAATGTCTCTTAATATAGATGTGGTACAACTAATTAAATCAGCTTACACACTTCTAGAGATTGCTCTAAGGCCATGTAAGTAACAATACACATGTCACTCATGACACGTTAACGAATGCCTCTTACTATAAATGTGGTACAACGAATGAAATCATTTTACACACTTATAGAGATTGTCCTAAGGCCATGCAAGTTTGGAACAATTCAGTTCTCTATCTCATATTCACTTTTATGAGGATATATATATATATATATATATATATATATATATATATATATATATATATATATATATATATATATATATATATATATATATATATATATATATATATATATATATATATATATATATATATATATATATATATATATATATATATATATATATATATATATATATATATATAATTGAATGAAAATTAATTTTATCACCAATCATGACCTTTTGTTTCTCATTTGTTGTTTGATGATTTAAAAATCTCGTAATGAAGAATCTTTCAAAGACAACAATTATTCTATATGGAATATTCTTAACCAAATAACTACTCATTTACACTATACCAAAAAGGTTTTTGGTGGTTGTAATAAGACATCAATCTCTAGACTTGTGTCTTGACATCCTCCTCAAGAGAATGTGATAAAGGTCAACGTAGATGGTAGTTTTATTGGTAATTCAGTGTCATCCGACTTTGACGGTCTTTTGAGAAATTCTTCTGAAGGTTGGATCACAAGTTTTGTAGGAAGTTATGGTTTCCCTTGTAAAATTATTGTCGAGCTTCAAGAAATTTTTCATGGTCTTAATATTGTTTAGAATCATGGTTTCAAAAATGTAATTTGCGCCTCTGACTTTCAAATAACTCTAAAATTTATTTAAAAGAGTGTACTTTCTATTCATCTTTATACGCCTCTAATAGATTATATTCATTCACTTGTTCATAAAGAATGACGGTTAGTCATTGTTCATATTTTATATAGAGAAAAAAATACCAATATTGATTGACTTGTTAAATTGAAAGTCTTTGTTAAGTAATTAATATGTTTAATTGATAGACATTGAATTTTATTTTCTATCACGTTTTCTTTTCAGTTTCTTCCTTTTTCGTAAAAAAAAAGAAAGAAAAACTCTTGTTTTCATTTATTTTCTTATTTAATTTGATCTATCTTTTTCTCCTCAAATCTCATCCTTCTTTTTTGAGTACAGACATCATGATGAGAGTGAATAACACAATGCTTCCTTTCAGCATCATCCATAAGTTTTTACCTGGCAATCGTCGAAAGCAACATTTGAATTCTTGGCTGGTCTTGTAAGTAGAAAAAATTGAGTAAAAAAAACCGAATTGCAAATAGTCTTAAACATGTAGCAGTGTTAAATTTGTTGAAGAAGAGTTTTAGTATCAAGTATTAACCTCTGGAATTGTGTGCAGAAAATATCTAATTTATTAATAAGAAAAAGAATAAAAAAATCCCCCGGAGCAAAGAGCGTTGGTTTGGTCGTCCCTATGGCAGTAGCACCGCGTTTTTTCATCTCTGTTCAACCCCGTTTACCAGGCGCTTCCATTCCTCTCTTCTTATCATCATTACAACAACTTCTTCATGCTTTTGAGGGATTAGGGCTTGATTCTCCATGCATCAGATTTTCCATAACAACCTAACCAACGCCATGGATTCCAAGAAGCTTCGAAGTAAACCTAAACTCGATCGTCGTAATGCTCTAAAGTACTTCGATTACGACGCTGGATCATCTTCCTCTTCGTCTGATGATTCTTCTGGTTCGCTTTATACTCGTTCGATGGAGTTGTATGACCGGACTAGTTTTCGAATTGAAGGTGTTGAAGGTGAGCTTGATCGGATTTGTAAGAGTTTGGGACTTTCTGGACCGGAGGATTTTTCTATTCCGGCTGCTGCTTGGGAGGCTATGAAGGTTCGATATTCTTCGGATAGTCTCCCGAGTTTGAAGCTTGGAGAGGTTGATTTTCGGGAGAAGGTAGATGAGGTGAGAGAATTAGAAGAGGAAGGTGGATTGAATAAGAAATGTGAAGATAGTGTTATGGATAGGGATAGGGTTACAGACGAGGTTGTTCAGACTGTTGTCGTTGCTGCTTCTAGTGGTGGTACCAGTGGAATTCATCCACCTTTGATTAAGGTGCCGGAGTTGGCTCCGGTAAGGGAAGGGGAAGTGGTGGAGAAAGAAGGTGAGGAAGTTGGTATTGGCAGGGGAAGTTTGAAGAGAGAAGAGGAAGACGGGGTGGTGGATAATTCCGATGAGATGGCTGAGATTGTTGTCGGCCTTTCGGAATCATCTATGTTTAGTACTTCCAACGAAGATGATTCATCTAGGACTGCCGTGGAACCTAGGTCCAATGATGTGTGTCGTAACGGGAGAATTCAGCGTATTATTACCCCTGGATGCTGGCAAAAGGGTCAGTTTTTGGGTGGAGGTTCGTTTGGATATGTCTTTGAAGGAATTTCTGAGTAAGTGTGATCAATCCCTTTGCTTTCAACTTTACTTTAGCATTTGTGTGTTCATGTATTTGGCCCTTCTTCTTTGCTGTAATAGTAGTAATCAGGGTTTTTTGCCGCGTCGCAGTCGCATAAAGGCTTTTGCAATTTCGATTGGTAAACTTGTCGCGATAATGATTGCAGTCGTTGTGGTGTGAATTAGCCACGATTTGTTCTTTAACATAAAAATGGCGATAACGGTATCGGGGCATCTGCCAATACCGTTTTGTCGCGGTCGTTTTCGCGGTCGCGGGCCGTCTTGTAAAACCCTGGTAGTAATTTATCATATGAACATGCTAGTTAGGAAAATTTCATATTTGAATCACGAATGAGACAGTTTTGTTGATGACGGATGGCGGTCCATGGCGAAGATATTTACCATTGCGGCAAGCTCAAAAACCGACACGTATCTCCGCCACAGCGCCACCATGGCAGATTGATAACACTAGTTGGGGAATATATGACTGGGAAGATTAATTCATTTTTAAGAATATTGCTGGGTGGATTATTTGGATCTGAAGGTAAAATTGGCAAAGCTTTGTTGTTGTCTGTTGCTACCCCTTTCAATATACTGGATGGTCACTTTTAGTTAAAGGAGGATGCAAGAAATATACTCTTTTCTGATTTACTTCCATTTACTCTCTCGAATTCAATTTCAAAATTAAGGGTAGCTTAGCTAACTGTTATAATGAGTAGAATAAGAAATGGGATGAGCTAGTTGAATCTGACAGGTCACTTTATGTTTGACTAATTACTCAGAAATTGTCAGTTTATATCCTATATTAGGAAGGGTTCACGAACCCTCCAACTTCTAGTACTTTCTTATCACGAAGACTTCCTTAAGAAATATATTGGATTGTTTGATCTTATCCAATGCGTAATTTTCTTTATACACATGTATAACCATCCTTTGTTCTATGTGTGGGGTTCATCCCTTTGCGTCTGGTCTTGTATGTTTGATGTGAGATGAAAACCATTATTTCGAAGGGTGTGATCCCTTTCTTTTACATTTTTTGGGGCCTAATTTCCTTAACCTTTTTCTACTTTTGGTAGTTTTTTGTCTCCAAGGTGTCCGTCTAGTGCACTGTTTTAATAAACTTTGCTATTAGCCTTTTACTGACAGATGATTTCTGAAGTGCAATTACATTAATGTCCTATTGGTCATCCTGATTAGGAAATGTATTTGAGCTTTAAAACCCCTTAACTGAATGGTGAATTAGGTTGTCCCTGCATGGTATATATTCAGTGATAGAGATGGCTTCAGTTAAATAGGCAATATCAATGTATTTAAAACTATACTAAATGAAAACTTTAGAAAATGTAATGAAATAGGGGAGCTACATTTTGGGAGGGCAAGGAGGCTGTAATTTCTATTTAATGCTAGTTATCAAAGTCTCTGGATTATTTCAATATTGGTATCTTCCTAATCTGCTTATAATAGGTTATACATTATCATCCGATGTTTTTCATTCAAGTTGAAAGGGAGCCATGAATCATGATGCAATAATTGAAGTTACTGCTGCTGTGATTAAGATGTCACAAGTTTGAGTTGTCGAATCAGTCTTTGGCAAATGAGTTTGACCCTTCTTTGGATCTTGCCACAGTGGGAGATTTATAGCTACAAGTTGCCCGCCCCTATTTTAACTCGAGTTGCTGCTTTTTGGTTTTGTCTGTATAAAGCTCAAGAACAAAGCATTTTTCAGTGTGATGATTGTATTTATTATTTATCTGTCTATTTTATGTTATAAGTGGTAACTACTAACATGTTATGCACATATTCTGAATCACTGCAGTGATGGATTCTTTTTTGCTGTAAAAGAAGTTTCATTGCTTGATCAAGGGGATCAGGGAAAACAAAGTGTCTACCAGCTGGAGCAGGTGACAGGCTTACGGCTTTTATTATTTTATCACCTATAACCTTTTCCAATATCGAGCATCCTTTGATGAAGAACAAATAAAAAGTTTTCTTACATAAATATAATTCCATTTTAGGCAATATGTCAAATTGTTTGAGAGGTTGTTGTCTCCTACTCTCCTTTATGTCTCTCCTATGTTTATTTTCTCACATTCATTCTCTTTTCTCACAGGAAATTGCACTTTTGAGTCGTTTTGAACATGATAATATCGTTCAATACTATGGCACTGAAATGGTATGGTACTTTCTTATCCAGTATTGTATTCTTCTTTTGTGCTCACTTTGGTACTTTCTTGTCATTTACCATTGTTGAATACAAGGTAGTTAAAATTGCATAAAATTTGAAAGGGGAAGTAAAATCTTAAATCGTGGAATCGTAACACTAATCGTAAGATTTTACAAAATTCTAAAACTCATATCTCTAAGCAATGTGGGACTAAACCACCCTTCAAACCCAACAGAATGAAGGTGTTGGAGGCTGCAATGAAGGCAATTAAAATGCTGCAATTAGGGGACTAGGAGTGGACTGCAATGAAGGCGGAATTCCCAACCGTTGTCAAACTTGAAAGTCTTTTTAAATTTGTGGAATCTTTATAAAGTTGACTCGTAACATCATTAGAGTTTACTTAACATAAAATTTAAATATTTTGTAAGCAATCTATAAATTAGACTAACACGGTCTCATAGTTCCAGGCCACAAACATAGCATCACAATTAAAAAAATCTCAATATAGGTTCATGGTCCAGAACAAAAACATAGCATCACAATAAAAAATCACAATATAGGTTCATGGATTCAGCTCGGGATAGTTAGGTTTCAAGTCATTCGAGTTGAACTCATTCACTGCGTTAGCCTGTTAGATTCATTCAACAATGATTGGTTTGTTTGTTCACGCTTTCTAACTCATTAATCGTAACTTCATTATGCTACGATCTATGGGGTCGAGACTCAATACAACATTGAGATTAGTTCTTTATACCCTACTTGATGTTATTGCAGGATGAATCCAAGCTTCATATCTTTATTGAGCTTGTGACCAAAGGTTCTCTTAGAAGCCTCTATCAGAGGTATACTCTCCGAGATTCCCAAGTATCTGCCTATACAAGACAGATTCTGCATGGTTTGAAGTATCTTCACAATCAAAATGTGGTTCACAGGTGACCCCAGATTTTGTGTTTTAATGTAATTTTGTTTTCTTATATGCATACATGGTATGATTCCCATTTCTCGAGTAATGCTGTCAAAAGTCCTGTCTATGGTTCTTGCTTCAAAAGAACTTTCGTTTTTTATTTATTAGTGTCTCATCATTGCAATATAAATATTCTGTGTAAATGTTTCGGTTTTGCTCGCTCTTAAATAATTTTAATATAAATTCGTTGCAAATAACTTGATGTGTCTGTTTGACTTTTTCTTCTTTGATGTATTTGGTTTATTTTTTATTCTTGGTATTTGGATTTCCCTGTGATAATATCGCTTCATTTTCATCGCTTGGTATTTGTGGTAGACATATTAGTTTTTATCAGTTTCTTATTACATTGAGCTTTAAATGCAAACTTTCTAATGATTAAAGAAGGAAAATCATGTTTATCAATATCAGAATTAGGTAAGAGTAGGAGGTTGCATAGTTACAATGCCATTCAGATTTTCAGTTTTGGAAGTTTTAATTGGTAGAATTTTTTCTTTCGGTTAAGCCCATCATGTCTATGAGATCTTCTCTGCATTCCTCTATCAGTTATGTCTTTGAGCTTTTTTCTGCATGCCTGTATCAGTTATGTAATTAGGATGAAGCATTAATCATTAATATAATCTAACTTTATCTCCCCAATATAAGGGATATCAAATGTGCAAATATATTGGTGCATGCAAGTGGATCTGTCAAACTTGCAGATTTTGGGTTAGCGAAGGTATTCCTTAGTTTATACTTCCCTTTCTAGGGCTTTTATTTCTTCACCGTCTCAATTTCCGTTATAGATATCTTAGCAACGTGCAACTACTTACAATTCCCATTTTCTGATATTGTTCTATAAATTGCTTTTCAGGCAACCAAATTGAATGATGTTAAATCATGCAAGGGGACAGCATTCTGGATGGCCCCAGAGGTTTGCCTTCAATCTTAACTTATGAAGGGAAATACTGAATAATCGTTCAACTTTTCAAATTTATTTCATGGAGTGTACATAGGTCCAACTACTAAATAGTTTGATCAACAGCAATATAGTTAATAGCCAGGATACAGAACTCTAGCTCGAGTTTCTACTTTTCTTCAGCCGAGGACTGAACACATTAAATGAAATTAAATCGTCTTACTATTTTCAGGAATTCATTTTCACGAACTTATAGTTGATATTGACAAAACAAAACAGCTAAAGCTATTCCTCCCATGTTAAACCAAAAGAAAATGAAATTTAGGGCTACCTTTAGAGTGGGACATTATATTGTGTCTATGTAGTGATTAGAGGTTTTTCAAACTAGGAGCCTTAAACTTTCTAAAATCATCTTACTTTGGTGTTTGATCTTTTAATTTCTTGATAACATTGTATTTAGTGAAACTAGGTTTTTGGGAAGGGTGTGCTAAACACAGCTGTTTTGTTTATATGTACCTGATTGCCACATGAGCATAGTAATCACCTTTTTATACATCATTAATGCAATGCACACACCGTGAAAAATGAGTTTATATTCTACTACACTTTTCCGCAAGCTGGAACAAATATCATGTGCATGGATTTTATTAAAATAAGTTCAACCCGAGGTCCCCTGTGAGACTTAGTAAATATACCCACTAATTGTTCATTGAAATTGACAACCCATTGTGTTTTTTCTCAAATTAAAAGGAACATTTTTCTCATAAAATGTCCAATTTATGTGTTTGGTCCTTTCATTTAAAACAAAGTTGAGAGCAATATGTAGAGAAGCTTCATCATCTTAGATTAATTTCATGCTCATGATGTATCCTAGTTGAAGTTCTTGAAGTGACTATTTTAGCTACACAAGTTTTAATGTTGTTATCACCATGGCACTGTATTCTACCTCAACACAAGATATAGCAGCGTTTTCCTAGGGTTTTTGAGATTGCACATGTGAATAATGAGCTTCTATTCTAATTCATATTAGTTATTAATTATGAATATGCAGGTTGTGAAAGGAAAGAACAAAGGTTATGGGCTTCCAGCTGATGTTTGGAGTCTGGGATGCACTGTGCTGGAGATGCTAACGGGACAAATTCCATACTCCAATTTGGAATGTGTATGTCTCAACTAATTGCTATTTTTACTTCCATTGGCAGGTGACAGTAAAAGTGATTATTATATATAGCCCCTGATTATGTTTCTCCTTTTCTGTATTAAGGGAGAGCTCTTAAATTTTCACAGTTTCAGTTTGGATTTTAATTCCTCTCCCAGTCTTTTTTGGTTCACGTTGTTGCCTCTACATAGTGTTTGCTTTTGCAGTTTTGTTAACCATGATTAAACAGTTCAGGCTATCCATTCTGATCCAAATTCCCAATTTTCCTGCTACTTATTTGTAAATTAAATTGTGGATTTTGTTTATGTTCTATGTCCCGTGTTTCCGATAATATAGAAATGTTGGTTGGTTCTTATAGTTACATAAACCAAATGGATACTCTCCCATGAAATATCGAATATATCTATAATGATAGCTATCAAAATTGCGTTAATGCTGAATATGACTTTTGATTGTTCTGCTAACCGCAGATGCAGGCAATATTTAGAATTGGAAAAGGGGTGCTACCTCCTATTCCTGATACTCTTTCAAGAGATGCAAAAGATTTTATCATGCAGTGCCTTCAAGTTAATCCTGACGATCGTCCTACTGCTGCTCAACTCTTAAACCATCCCTTTCTCCAACGGCCACTTTCACAGCCTTCATCTCCTTACATTCATGGCAAAAGGGGTTAAACATTGTCATCTTCAACCATGAAACATAATTAAGGTGAAAATTGTTACATGGCATCTCACTTTGATACTCTGTATTACTCTTTATATCATGATGACACTAGAATCTTATAGACAACTGTTTTCATAGCTTTCATAAGAATTCCCATTCATAACTAGTGAGCAATGACGTAAACACAAAATACCTAAGATGCTTGAAATGCCAGTTTTGGTTTTCAGGTTGCACATAGAATTTCTATATTTAAATTGGGTGGGGTTCAAGTGTGATTTCACTCTTATTTGGGGGTAACTTTTGTTGCAAGCATTACTGACAAACTATAAAAAGTAATAAAAGAGAGAATGTTTTAACCTGTCTGTGGTGGATTTCTTAAACAATAAGCTATATTGTTTGCATCTATTAGGAAAAATCTTTGTATGGGTTGAATTTACATCTTTCAATGGTTTATTGATTATTTTACTCTTGCATAGCATGTAGCAATGTAATATTTCCGATTTTCACTTTTAAAATTGCTGGAGTTGACCCGGGGTTCATTTTTGCAGCAATTTTTACTTTGCCCATGTTGTGGCATTCAGGGTTTGCTTGCTTGTTTACAACTCAACTGGATTTTTAGGCGATGCTTCTGCTCAAATGATATGAAGCTCCACAGAACCAAGCTATCAACTCAGCAAAGTGCTTATGGATACTTGTGCTCAATATGTATTTGTCCATTTACTCCATGATGATTTGTTCATTGTAGCATCGACAACATATCAACGTCAAGCTGAAAAAAGTTACCCCCACCTTTCCCTCTAATGAGCTAAACTATAAAAAAAATCTACCGGGTTTTAGGTTTGGGGACAATAGTAGCTAAAACAGACGACCATTCTTATTGTACATATTTATTAGCATGCCATTTTTTTTTGTGTATATGTATATTACAAAGTCATGTTTTTTACATTTTTCTTTTATTTGAATCCATGTTTAATGTTTCTCATTTGGTTGAATATAATAAATTGTCCAATTCATAATTTCATATAACTGACTGATGCAGCAAGGAAGATTTCTGTTGGTTTTGTGAGTTGTTTAACCCTCCCGGACTGCAGGAATTCTGATTATATCACCAAAATAGTCAATGCACCCCATATTATACATGGTACTCCAGTCTTGAAGTATTTACAAAATTTTTCCTAAAATATACTAATTTTTTTGAAATTTCCGGTGCAGTTTCGGAAATTTCGTTGAAATTTTAATTTTTTATCGTGCCATATGAATTTAATCGGAAATTTAAAATTTCCGGTATCAGATATTTCAAATTTCCAGTATATTTCATCCTTATCGAAACCGGATATTTGAAATTTCCGGTGTGTGGAAATTACCGGGAATTTTAAATTTCCGGTAGTACTAGAATTTTTTTTAAAACTTTTACTAGAATAAAATACACAGTGAAATATCGAACCGTCTTAATATATAAATAGAATAAATGTCATACATATATGCATTAAAAAAACTACAATCACTTCTTAGACAATTCTTTCCAATGTCTGAAACGATTCGCATATGTTGATTCTCATACTTTTGCATTAGTAGAACTATTCTCTCTCCAACGAGTAGTGACAGGGGATAGTGGACAATCGAGTTTCAACTTTAGCTGAACCCAATGATTATCGTTGATAAAACCAACAATAGTGATTGTATACCGACTCGTTTACGGGGGTGGAGCTATGAGAAGTGGGAAAAATGTTATGTTAAGTCTCATGGAAATGAAAATAAATATGACTCTGTATTTATAAGCAATAAGGTAACCCATATCAGAAATCGACATCCATTTATCCCTACCCTGCTCCCCCAAGTGTTTTAGTTGTAACGAAGTCCTAACAATAGAGACAATATCATAGAACAACTTGGAAAACAAATCAGCGTGTTGACGGACTTGAGTATCCAACTGCTTCCGAACTGAATAACATGCATCTTGCCCCATCCTAATATAGCTGAAATATAACGAAAACCACAATTTCCATCACCCTCAACATCAATTATGTCATCGATGTATGGATGAAAGAAAGTAAGAAATTGTGACAATAACTCAGCTCTTAAAGATTTGGTAGAATGTTGCTTACCAATCGACATGGTTGACGATTGACTTCCAATTGATTTTGTGCATGATCTATTTGTAGTCCGACTCCCTTGCGAAGCTGTATCATATTTCCACTGGCTAGGATCACGATGCACATCACTCTCCTCACCCTTTTTACTTTTCTTAACTCCCTTCTTTGGCTTGTATTTCACCGGTGGTGGACACATAGAAGTTGTGGATGGATAAGTTAGATCACAAACTTTTTTCTTCAACACCCTCTAACCCACAATATCCAAATTATTGAAATATCTCTTCAACTCTTCACACTCTTCTTCTAAATCCCACTTACTCTCATCATGAGTCACTTCATGTTCTGAAATGTGCAATTTCGTCCAAAATACATGAGTTGTTTCCAAAGGTATAAGGGTGCCTAAAATTTGAAAACCGACAAGCTGATACGCACACGGTAACCCATGTGTTGTTCTAATGTAACCACCACACCTCTCTTTGCTTGCACCAACAAATTTTACTCTTTCTAGTTTATTTTTAATGAGTTATATATATTGTCTTGAGACAAAACTATGCAATTTAGAATAGAATGGAGTGTTATATCGATGCTTAATATTGACGATACTTTTTTGAAATGACACTCTAATGGAATCTAGCTGCAACTTCAACATTGTGTTCACATCATCCCAACTTCGACATAAATCACCATGACTTGTAGTCAACAAGTTCTTTAGTCTCCGATATACAGACTCCATCCTAAAAATCATGAACATATCATCTAAACAACTTTCAAATAAGTATCTAAACATAAACATATTTTATGTTAGTCCAATGTACCTGTTTGTTGTTGTGTTTCCTAAATGAGTGACTTTGTTAGTCCATGCAACAACAAATCTTTTTTTATATGGTGTTAACCATGTTTCATTCACATACTTGACAAATGATGGAATATCACCACAAACACTCTCAAAGTGGTTGAAATGTACATCAAACTCGTCTTCTGTATTTGAATACATCATGTTATTCCATTGATCTATGATATGTTCTTGTCTTTTTGATTTCACATACTCCTTACATTTCATGCTCACGTTTTTTGAAATATGGAACGTACACAACACATGTGTTGCATTTAGAAACACATAATCAATGGCGTTCATTAATGCAAGTTCCTGGTCAGTCACCACAACATTTGGAAGCAATTTCTTTTAATAGAACAACTCTTTGAGCTTCTGTAATGTCCATGTGAAGTTCTCCCCCGTTTCATGTTCCAAATAAGAAAAAGCAACTGAAAACGTAAATTTCGTTTATGTAACACCAACAATCTCCAACAATAGTAACTGATACCTGCACGATAAAATGCACATAATCAACCATGTCACTCAACGTATTTTAGGATGAGAGAAGTAAATTTTTTACCTATTTTTCTTGTATGTGCAATCAAAAATTAACACCATATGAAACATATTAAACAATTTCACAGAATCAGGATATGTCCAAAAGATATCACCCATAATATCCGAATTCTCCTTATTTCTAGTCCAACACATGTATTTCTCTTGATGAATAAGGCTCAATAATATTTACATTTCTGTCATTTCACCTATCTTGCCTAATCTGTATTTTGCTCTAGCTCAGTATATCTGGGTAATAGTCGTGAGGTTTTCTGGGTCTCTGTCTTTTGTTCTGGACTGGCCCAATGACTAGAATTGGTCCAATCCACTCCTACCTCCAATACAACCCAAACAACTTTGTCCCACTAACTCTAGTCCTTAGTCGAGCAAACTTGGTCGACCACACCACTAGAAGACCGAGGATGACGATGTCCTGACCACGCGTCCTCCTGCATCATCATTCGTCTTCAGGTCTGCTCGCCACAAGTCGAGCAGACGACCAAAAAGCATCTCACAATGCATCTTCTCGTCATCTCATCCTTGCTCGGAGCAACGACTAGTTACGGGCACGACTGTCCATTTTGATCGGGTCCTGGCAGTTACCTATTTTTTAGGAAACTAATATCTAGGCCTAAAAATAGGAACCACAATGGCTACGCGTCGGGGGCATTATATAAACCCTCACACTTGTGAGATCCAGATATCGAATATTCACTTTAAAAACCCTAATCTTTTACTTATATCTCTTTGTACTCTTTCTTACTAGATCGTCGGAGTGCCTTGCAGGAACACCCCCTCATCTCCTCACATTTTCAGCCAAGCATACATCATCATCATGAACCACTTCAAGTTCTAATCAGCATACGAGATCAGTGGCGCTGTCTGTGGAAACTCTGTCTTTCCCGTCTTCTTTTTCCTCAAAGCTATAAGACCAAAGAAACTTTCAATAATCCGATCATGGACAAAAATGATGACCACTATCTCTCTGGAAAAAATATGCTCTCCCCCGTCTGCAAGCCGGATGGAAACGAAGAACATCCTCATCTAGAGGATGTCCCCAACATCAGAGATGACTGAATTGCGTCCTCTGACTCGGATGAAGCCAACCACGATAACACTCATTTCTTGAAAAACCATAAATCCAAGAAACCTGTCGAGGAACTACCAAAAATCCTCCAACCAACCTCAATTCCTCCCAACGCCGACCCAGACATGGCAGCGCTGCTGGCTATTCTCAACCAAACCAACCAGCACTCTCATCCAGCAACAGAGCAGCAGGATGAGAGCCTGGGAGAAAAAGATGTCAAAGTCTCCTCCTCAAAGACACCAACGATATGACTCTTTGAGTCCCTCACGGCCAAGGTGTGGTCTTCTACCCGCGAGGGAGAAGCATGATGTTTCTTTCATCAAGAAACAAGGTCGCACACCTCCCCGCAAAGACCGGTGCTTCCCGGTCTCCAAGAAGACGAAGAACAACCGGCTCTTGACCACGACCACTCTCCCATCGCCCAAGCCAAAGAGAAGCATGTCTCCCCGTCGGGACCACAAC